TATAACCAGTCTATCAGTATATCAGGTTGACTCGATATTCTTTTTCTCTAGTTCATTCTAGCAGCCTAGTTGGTAGTACCTCTAAGACTCCCAACCTGAAGGTTCTTGTCTGTTTGGCTACTAGAACCAGGTACTAAACCTGAGTATCTGTTTTGCCAAGCTAGGCTTTACAGTAGGGCTATCAAAAATCCAGCTACCTCTCTACTCAGATCTTTCCAAATGGACTTCTTGTTACTTAATTTCAACAATTTATATAGTCATAAGAACTTATCTAATGTTTGCACCGCTCAATATGTCAGTTTGCATTTCTCTGTGTAACTTCAACATTGCACAGATGCTCCATGACCTGCCAGTCATGCTGGTATGACTGCCATTACAGGTATTCTAACCCAACTTTTAGTAACAGTTGCCATAATATGAATATTACATAGGTGATTATCCAAATTTTTCACTGTTGATGGGATTTGAACACCTAACCTACCACTTGGAAGTTGACAACCTGACCACTTCACTAGATCACCACACCTCTTATGATCACTTTACTATATTGCCATACTTTATTAATATAATTAGTTAAATATAAGCAAAATTATTATTGTAATATTGTTTTTAAAAATTGTTTATATGTTTATATATTTTTAACAACTTAGTATTTTTTATTAAATATATCAGAAAAACCAGTAGTTTTATACAAGAATAAAAAAGTTAAGATTTGTTAAAATATATTTAGTCAATTATTAAAATGTTCTTTTGTTGCTTGCTTTATCTCTTTTAAATAATTAATTATTTTATTAAATGTTTTAATTTTATTAAATAAAATTTAATCATAATTACATTTAAAAAAACCCACATATACTCTTTAATTAGTAATTTTAACTCTAAATTCTAATCCAACTATTAAAAAAAAACTAAAAAAATATATCTTAAAAATTATAAAATTTTGTATTAAAATATATCCTAAAATTAGCACAATATATATCATAGTCTTAATATTGTATTTAGCATTTAAGCATAAATTTAATTGCAAAATGTCATTGTTTCCTAATTTATAAATAACATACAAATTAAAAATCATGCATAAAAAATACAATGTATTTTAATGTTATTTATAACAATATTTTTTATAAATTGTAATTTTGCCGTGTCTGTATAATTTTTTTTATAATAAATGGCATTGTGTCAATTTAAAATGAAATGTCATTTTTCATAAAAATGTTTATCATATATTACTGACTATAACCCGGTTCTAAACTCTAATTGTTGCCTAGCTAAAATCGCTGCTTTGCAGTTAAAGAAAGTATCATCTTCTCGCAATCCATCATCTTCATTTTCGTCGTCTTGTTCATCATTACATAAGATTTCATCTTTAAAGTTATTTTCATAATTATTTACCTCTAGACCCATTATATCTTGTAGATTGAGTGTACCAATTTGTGGTTCGTATTTTGGAATGGACTGCTTACCGCGAACGCTTGGTGACGAAGCCAAGTGAAAACTTGGAAGGATTTTGGAATCCAACACGTTGGAAAAGGTCTTTGATTTAACAGTACAGTACCCATCTTCATCTACGCTAACTGGAGTCGGTGGAACTGGACTTAATATGCTTATAAGATCATCAACGATAATCTTCGCAGCTTCCTTCGCCGGAGTTTTCAGTAATTTTGATGGTGCAACTGAAAATTGGATTGTGACTGGTGGTGAGAATTCGGCAAAGTCACTATCAGTACCACGGGACGACGGTGGACCGCCAGGGAAATAGGAGGCAGGACGAGAATTTGCTCCTTTATATGGATTGTTTTCTATAATAGGTCTTAGAGGCGTTTGCCTGGCCAACATTTGTTGCCTTTGCATCACGCGTTCTATCAACGTATTTGGTCTACAATCGGACGGCGGTAAAGCTGGCATAGATATGTAAGTAGAGCTGGTGCCATGAGAAAGGTCACCTGACCCTTTCTTCTTTGGAATTTTTTCACCCCAAGCTAATGATTGTAGTAACTTGTGTTCCAACATTGGTGGATCTTGCAATGGTGTCGATGAAATGGAAAGATATTTCGCAGAAGGTGGGTAGATACTCGAGTTAGTGGTCTTACTATTGTTCGTCGCGTTTGATAAAATCTCATCACACTTCTTTTTGTTATTGGAATTATCGAAAGTTTCCATCGAAGGTGGTGAAGAGTTATTATTTGAAGATCTGTTCGTCGCGTTTGATAAAACCTCATCACATTTCTTTTTTTCATTGGAACTATCGAAGTCTTCCATCGAAGGTGGTGAAGAGTTATCATTTGAAGAAGATAAATCTAGGGATTCAAAGAAGGACCACCATAACTATTAAAAAATTTCAATTAATTTAATTATACCGACTTAAAATTATCGTGTATATTCGCGTATATTGCATAGCCACTAATAATTACCTTTGAATTTTCCCAAATATCCTCTGAAATCTCTGCAAAACGCGATATTTGTGGTAATATTCTGGTAGATACTTTATGTTGACATCTGGAAAAATTGTTGTCAATTTCCTGTAGTGTCAAGGTTATATTTTGTTCCAGCTTCTCAAGTCTAGCAGTCAAATCGTTAACTGACGAGAATGTCATTTTTAAAACGCGTAACAGACGTGAAAAAAAATCTCGACCGTCGATGTTACAATACTTTTTCATATGGTATTAAGTATTGTCACAAAATTTGATTTTGCCACATCAGATGATCAAAACATACTATTAACCAATCAAATCAAACAAAATATTTAAATGTGATATTCTAGAGGTTGGAACCGGTTTTAATAATTCGGGGTTATCACGTGAATCTTGTGATATTTTAGAAATTTATCTAATTAAATTTAATGAATTCTAAAATATCGATATAGATATTTTAATCAAAATAACCTCTCGTATATGCACCAATCGAATTTTTCGAATGATCGTGAAAATCACGCTTTTTTTAAATTTTAAAATTTTGTTATAGAGCATGCATATCCCAACCCTAACATGAGGGTTTAGTACTTTAAAATATTACGCATATTAAAGTTGTTTTGATTATTCGAGAAGATCTGATTGGTGCATCTATGACGATTTCACTGGGTTTACCATAGTTCCTATTGGACGAAAAAAAATCCTGCTTTTCGATTAGATCGTTGAAACGGTATAAAGGTCTAATAATATTATCGTTATTCTAAAATTTTGCAAGTATTTTTGAAAAACTTCATGTTACACCTGATCTTATAATTTGATTGGTAGACAAAAGGTGGCATAGTCGACATTGTCCAATTAGAGAACTGTCTGTGGGGATCCCAGTCTCACTGGGGTTATACTATTATAGTTAGTGTTTGGGCGCCAAACTCTGGCCAAACTCATATCTCAAAAACTTTATTAATAATCTTCATTTAAACAAATCATTCAATTTTTTTTAAAAATAACAATTATATTTTTGGGAAGCTTTCTACACAAATTAAGACTAATGGTTGTTTCCTTTATGAATTTATTCTTGAAAATGTAATCCTAGATTTAAGACAATGTTAAAACATGATTAATTTAATTCCTTGTCGTTATATTTATGTACTTGGGCGTTTAAACAAAACATGCCAAAAAAAAAGTTTTAGTTTATCAAACAAAATGTCGATATTTAAATAATTAAAAAAATAATATAATAAATAATAATAAATAGTATACTGTAATACATATAAGGATAATCTTTATCATTATTATACGTACGTATTGTATACGTATAATATATTTACAGTAAGCACGAAAAAACCTTTAATTGGGTAACATCTAGGACCATGTTTGTTTTCCATTGTACGTGCGTTATTGGTACAGTTTAGTTATTAACGTTAATCGATTTCCAAGTTTAACCGATAAGGTAATATAATATTTATATTAACGGCTTATACGATTCTTAAGTACATACTCACGATACAAGCTTTTTTTTTATACAACGTTAAGAGAAAATGTATGATGCCAATTTTTTATTCACTGGACTGCCAGTACATTCTACAGACCAAGATTTATCAATGTGCGAACCTTACCTTGATGATTATACAACGGCAAATAGTACAAGCAATAACAGCACTTCCGTCGGTCAATTACCGTCAACTACCTTATACGAATTTGAGGAATTTGCTACTCAATTTCAAGCAACTATAGCGGCCAATAGCCATATGGCTGCTGCTAATTCATTCGATAATTTCTCGTACTCATATCCTTCCTCAAGAAATGGCATATTCTCTCCGGATATAATAGCTTCCCTGAATTCCCCAGAACCTTTTTTCAACACACCGAATTCTTATCAAATCCTTAAAGATAATTGTTCAATAACGGCTCCTTCACCTCAAAATTTTCCTTCCATGCAAAGTTTTAATGCTTCGTCAACTGGTATTACATTAACCGATTTAAATACATGTTCTTCGATAGAAGAACCATTTGATCAATTATCGACAATCAAAGCTAAAACTGATCCTTTAATAACTCAAAATGAAAACATGAATAAACGTGTTTCAGTGGAACATGAGTCTATATTATCAGATAGATCCTTAAAAAAGAAACGAAAAAGCACAGCTGGGATTACTAAAACCGTAACAAAACCATTAGATGGTCTTAAATCTTCAGCAACTAGATCTTATGTCAAGAATGAACCAAATCCTCAAAATCACGCCTCACATAATGAAACAACTACGTGTATTGATGAATTAAATGTGGGTTCAAGTGTACAAAGTATAGGCGTTCCAAATCCTTTGATGGTTAGCACCGATATACCTTCCAATTATGTCACTGATGTATTTAGTCAACCTTCTTGGCCTGAGACTGCAAACCAAAGCTTTATCCCGAATGTGGTAAATTCAAACAGGATTACTGGTATGCCTCCCTAAATTTTGCATATATTATGATCCGTTACATTTTGTGTATTTATGTAGTCTCTAACTTGTAATCAATGCTTATTTGTCTTATTTAGATACACCACAATTTCCTAGTATCCCAATACTTCCATTATCGCGTGATGCTGTGAATTCTACTGCGAAGGTCGCTATAACGCGACTCAAGCCTTCAACCGTTACACCACTACCTCAGTCCCAGCTACAGTCCAACAAGCAACAAAAGAAAGTTGCACACAATGCAATAGAACGTCGATATAGAAATAACATAAATGATCGTATAAATGAACTTAAGAATGTAGTCCCTGCTCTTTGTAATTTAAAAAACAAAGATGACAAAGATGAAGACGATAACGAAGTAGATGGTATCCCAGCTGCCACAAAATTGAATAAAGCTACTATTTTGAGAAAATCAACAGAATATATCACATATTTGAAAAACAATAATAAAAAAATCAAAACTGAGAATGAGGTATTAAGGAAGATGATTGAAGCTCTTCCAGGCGGTATTGAGTTATACAACGCTTATCATATCAAAAAAATGGCAGTTGAAAGTGTCGGGACTCCATCTGATACATCGGAAGATACTGATTCAGATCCCTCTAGTGTTTCTAACCATGAAGAATTTGATTATCTTCCACCGACTCCACCATCTGGAAACACTGGTTCAAGAGCAATGATGGCTTTATTTATGTGTATGACATTTTTTACATCAGGCTACGATCAGTATACATCCTATCATCATAGTGAAGGTCGTGTTATGAGTAGCAATGGGTCACCAACCAATAATAAGTCTGAAATTCCAAAAGGAACTTACAATTCTAGCGATGGTACAATAACGATTAACATTTGGTAAGTTTATAATATTCGCATATTTATTTTATTATATGTTCATGGTGTAACATACGTATATTACATTATAAATAGGTATTTTGCTAGAATTTTTGCCTTTATTATGTGCCTGGCATATATTATTCGGCCATCCCTATTTTCAAGTCAACCACGTATTATTCGAAAATCAAAATCAGTTATCATTTCTGTTTTAACTACCAAAACTAAAGATGCGACAGCACTCTATTCATCTCTTTCGCGCCTTTCGCATCGATCACCGATGAATACATTTGAACTTTTAATTGGTTTATTTACTGAATCCTTAAGATTTTTTTCAAGAAGACTTTTAGGATGGGAAATTCCTGGCAGCTTTACTAATATAGACATGGATGAAAGGTTATGGGAAGTTGGATTATGGGGTCGACTTGGTGAAGTTGAATTATGTGGTGGTAAGTATTTACATGAGTTACTGACTTAATAGATTATGTATTCATTTATTCACAATTTTAATCAACATTACATGCTTTCCCAGGAAATAAAAATGCAAGTCGTCTTTCAATTTTGTACACATGTCTTCGAACTGTCAACTTGTTGGAACATCCTTACACGATACATAAAAATTTGTACATTAGCTCCTCTCGTATATATGCGAACGCTGCGATACAATGTTATATAGGCCTTCATTCTATCCCTTTTTTATCACAAAAAGTTGTATCCTCTTTCTGGAAATTGGCCATTAAAGAGAAAGGACGCATTGGATCTGAAGAGAAATGGTTTGAAATTGCTCTTATCAGCGACTCAAATAGTGATATATGGAAAGTTGTAGCCGAAAGAATCAGTAATTATATTCTTCATTCGCCGAAAAACGATGAAGCTATTTCACCCATGAGAAATACTACTATACCGCTTATTCATATTTCAGATATGCAAGGTTTTATTCATCTTAAAGAAACCTTTTCTAACTTTGTTTCTATGCGATATGGCAATAAAAAGAATGCAAAGAAAAGTAAATTTACTTTTGCAGAACTGCTTAGTGTCACCACGCCAGCATCACTGACGCACTGGTATGCATTGGTCGGATGTGCTGTACAGGCTTTTTCAGAAGGAAAACATGTTCCTGGTGAAAAGTTTGTAAATAAGCTAAAGGAGGAATTTCAAAAAACAGACAAAAGCTTAAACAAGCAGATTATTGCTATGGGCTTGCTTTCTCATATTCTTTTAATATATGGTAAAGTTGAGGCGTCTGTCCGCTGTGCCGATAAAGCTAGCAATTTTGTATCGTTGCGAAAAAAAGAAGAAAAAACAGGTGTTGAAGATGATTCACTAGATAAAAATTTAGAGATTCAAAAAATAGAACATGATGTTCACACCCTTGCAGAATATTGCGTTGGTTGGATCGTTTTAGAAGCAAGGATTTTCGGATGGAAAAAAATTGAGGGACTTTCATTGGAAAACAAAGATGAAGTATTACCTGGTATCCTTAATGTTGAGGCTCGACTGATACCTTCTATTGATAGTTGGATACGTTATTTGCGTCGATTATCAAAAGCTGATGTGTTCAACAAGATTCCAAAAGCTCGAGAAGAATTTATCAAGAATCTTGAGGTTCTTGGAAGAATTGTGGGTGGATTGGATGAAAGTTTTGGTTCTATGAATTGTTATGATAATACTAATAATGAGGGAAATTTGGTTGATCAAAATGAAGATAATAGAGCAGTAAGGGCTTGGAATGCCCTAAAGGAAATGTAAATATACATTTTTTTTGTAAATGATCTACCATATATTACTGATTAAAAGCAACCGAAAAGCAATTGATTTTAGGATGGATAATTTGATAGGATTTCGATTTGATTAAATTAGATCCGAAGATGTGAGTATGCGTATCTTCAGCTTGGATCACAAAAGTCTTAATTTTTCTGTATTTTTTTTTGGTTGCTTTTATTTGATAATATATGGTATTTTTCATAATTTTAATGCTTTTAATGCATTGTAGATTTCATTAAAATAAAATTTTGTCATTGGCATCGTGTGCGTGAAAATTCGCAAAAAAAAAAAAACCCCCCGAATCGGGCTTTTATAAGTCTGACCCGATTACTTTTACTCGATAACTAAACCGAGTTTATTAAAATTATTTATCTTGGCGCTGTTTTCGAAATGATCCGATTGGCGAATTCTGGAATGTAATCGGAGATTAAAAGTGCTATAATTAAAGAATTCACTAATTGGATCACTTTGGTGAACTGCTAGTTAGAAAATCATGTACTAAAAATAATTTATATCATTTACATAGGTCTAATATTCCTCAAATGAGATGGAACTCATAGCGGGTCTCAATTTCATCTAAATCAATCAAGATTCACCGTACGTTCTTAAAACTTTCAAGTCCAGAAGACGAAAGCTGTGTATTGGTTTTGAATTAATGCCGATACAAATTTTATTGTATATAGAGCAATAGTTTGTCTTTTATTACAAAAACTAGCTTTTTTTGTATTCGCCTTTGTATTGTTAAATCAAATGATATATTTAAAATATATATATATATATTGCATGTTTTATTTTATGTATTCAATTAAATCGTGAACAATATCGGATACTATAAACAGTGTTGATATCTTTATCATAAATCATTGTAACTCTCAAGTAGCGATCCAAATCGTTAGTTGATAAACCAACTAGTTGACAACTTTCCAGCTAATCGATTGGAAAATTTTGAAACTAATCGATTAAATGGGTTAGGTTCTGAGAAAAGGGACGAATATTGACAATTTTTTCAAAAGCTGTTTTTTTATATAAATCAATTTAAAATAAGATTAAGATTATTTTTGGTATTAAGGTGAGGCCTTGCTCATCTCTTCATTAATAATTTTAGCTACATACTTTAGTACAAAAGTGCTAAAATAAGGATTATTTTTCACTTAAGACTCAAAAGTAGTTATGTTAATAAAACTTCGCATTTTCTTATGATTAATTATAAGATTTACAGCATAATTAATTTTCCGAAGATCTCATTTTCTCAGCAATAACACAGGGGTCGTCTAAAGCCATGTACCCACGTGACTTTTTTATGTAAATCAACCGGACAATCTACGGACAGTTCTTAGGGACAGTTCAAATCACGTGAATAGTTAGTTAGGGACATCTTCCCCAGTATCGCCACCAAAAAAATCACGCTCACGTGACAACGATAAAAATTCTAATTCGTTAATATTAGGGTTAGCGTTATATTATGATTAGATAATAGTGAGGATATATTAGTAAAATTGCTTAAGGAAATTTTTTTGTTAGTGCACTAAAGGCGGTTTCCTATGTAAATTTTCGAGTTATGAGCGATTTTTATTAAACCGAACGGTTGTTTTGATTTTTCCAGATCGTGCAACGTTACACTTGATCTTGAAATGTTACACCTGATCTTGTAATATCATTGGTTTGCAACAAGAAAATATCACGTGAGCGTGATTTTTTTGGTGGCGATACTGGGGTAGTTGTTAGGGACAGTTAGGGTGAGTGGTTTTAGTAATATCACGTGAATCGCACTGTCCCTAACTGTCCGTAAGAACTGTCCGTAGACTCTCCGTAAATCAACCAAACGGAATTACGAAATTTTGTTTACACGGATCAGTCCGAAGTTGACAAAGAATAAAAAAACTGCAAAAAGATGCTTGGTGCACTAATTAAAAATGTCGGAAAGGCAATTTTACCTATACCCCTTTTCTTATACCAACCTAACCCCAATCCTAACACTAATTTTAATAAAACATCAAAATCACGTGGGTACATGACTTTAGCCATCCCCCTAACGTCCCAAATATGGAACATGGTTACACTAATGTTGAGTGATTGTCACATGCTAACTAGCCAATCAAAATAGTCAATTTAGAAATGAATTTTTAAGAAACGAAGTCAAAGAAATTTGTTTGAAAGTCTAAACTATAAATTGTTAAATAAATTACAAGTAGACAATCACATCATTATTACTTGGATCATTTTAAACTATATTATACTGTTATATGTAAGTTAATTGTTGTTATTTTAAAAATTTTTATAATCTCTACATCCTATAGCAAAAGGTGGCTTCGGGAAAATCATGTAAATTTGAGAAAATCATGTCCAGAATTAGTATATAACTATTACATATCAAAATAATTAATTCAAATTATATACATTTTTTTATTAATATATTTAGCAACCAAAATTTGTTTTTACATATAAGTATACATTATTCTGCAGACGACAAAAAATAACAGGCAATTTTTTTTGTCGGAGTTAAGTCACTCCATGTGCTGCGTAGCAGCACATGAGTGAAATTAACTCTAATGAAAAAAAAAATCGCCTGTTATTTGTCGTACGTATGCCGAATAATGATGTTATTGGATAGTTAATATGACCATGTGAAGTTTTTTCTGTGATGTTTTGCAAAACTGATTACGTAATTTCATGCAAAAAATATCATGGCAAAAAAATTCACATAATCATATGAAATGTCGAATAAAGATATTTATTAGTTAATTAGATATTATATAAAATCTCAAAATCTGATTGGCTGACCCAAAGCCACCTTTTGCTGTGGGACCCCCAATTATTAAACTTGAATTTTTTCATAGTGTCACACACGTCTATTATTCCATCACGAAGACCTTTAAATGTTCATATCTCTGGTTTACAATAATATTTATATTATACCTGCATAAAACTATTACCACATTCTAAAACTATATCAAAAAATAAAAATAAAAATAAAAACGTTGATAATTACTATTCATATATTTCAATTTTTTTTTAAAAAAAAACTCCAACGCATACAAAAAAATACAAAAAAAATTCTAACCCAACTTTTACATTTATATTACATCTCTAAATCATTATTAGTATTTTTATTACCTTTTTTTTGCGCAACAAGTGAAATTTCGTCAACATAATGATGGTGCAAGGTGAAAACTTTAAGTTTCTCTAACGCTAATAATTTACCGTGTTTCACGTGTTTCACGTGTTTCATAGAGGTGATAATCTACTTTAAATCAATCGTGTAACGATCTACAAGATCGGGGCACTCGGGACGTTCCTACCTCGACAAATCATCAATTAGTTAAATTCGTCTATTCGTGTTGATTACTTCAGTTTGATTGGCCAATCAACAAAGTTAGTCACATGATAGGAAAAATCGATTAGTTGCAACTAATCGATTGGAAGAAAAGTATCAACAAAAACAGTTCTTTTGATCAAAAGGCTTACTCAAATTTTATTTTTGGCTGTTAAATTTTTATTTTACAATTATTTTTGACTGCGTAATTTAATGTAGCATATCACTTGTTTAGTCGTAACATCAATAAAATAAGAAGTCACTTAAATTATGTAGTAATTTCAAGATTCCAAAGAAGGTTTGGCCGCAACCCTATTTACACATTTTACTTTGATTGGCGGAAGTTCCCAACCTTTGGGGCCAAAACAAGGCGTGACATATACCATCATTTCGTTATCCTTTCGCTTTAACCTATTTATAAGAGGATAATGTTATACTTATTCGAATTAATAATAATTAACACAGACAATTTACTACATACTTGGAGGCAGGAAGTTTCTTTGGCTTAGAAAATATACATAAAGACTTCCCAAGCTTAGAAAGCCACTCTGGCTTTATAATTGTAATACCTAAATATTAAAATCAACCATAAATATTATCCTAAGCATCAGTGTGGTTTAGGGGTTGGCGCAAAGCAGATGGCGTCACGTGCCGTGGCATGCCAATTTAAACATGACAAGCCATTATAAAATTTCCTACATTATGGCTAGGGTTGTTAATAGAGTGCTTCAGTTAATAATAAATGTGAACCTAAGTTGCGAAATAGTGAAATCCGCTATGATCTTCACCTGAGGATGAAATACACTCTTATATAATAAAAAACATAATAAAACGCGGATTTCACCCTAACCCAATCTACAAAGCGTATTTCACTATTTCGAAACTCAGGTTTCACCCTGTTCTATAAATATAACCCACTCCGGAGTATTCCAGAAGTAGACTATATGATTTATTATAGTCTGGAGAACTTCATTGACAACCCTAATTTTGGCATAGCAAAAAAAAAGGTCCAACCGTGTTACCCGTATACCTAATATCGGGAAAATGCCGGAATGTTATACAAACAACGAACATGAAATGCAAGCGAAATTTCGGGAATTGGTTTTTAGTTTAAAATTTACCTAATTGATATTTTATCCGAGTTCGGATCAGAACATTATATGAATGGTGCACCATACGGCATGCCATGCGCTAAAAAATATTAATGGCACGCCATTAAAAAATATCTGCGCCAACCACCTTAGTGTGGTGCATAACCACAAAATTCATCCACAAAACTCCTCATATTCAATACAATACCTTTCATCCATACTTTATTTGTACGTTGTAATTCTTGATAAACCACAAAATCTGGCGGCTTCTCATGATACAAAACAGAAGATGGATGAACAAAAACATCTTCATCTGCCCACATGGTAGAATATGCAATACCTCTAGTAGAAGAATATGTTTTCATTGTCCCATCCGCCACATCCTTGCGTATAGCAACTTGATCAATAAAGCCGGCTGTAATGATTTGACGGAGAGCTTCGAGCTAATGTGATTAATAATTTTTTTTAATTAAACAAAAAAATATGAATCAACGAAAAGCTATTTAATATCATACCTGGGTAGCAGAAGGTGGTTTCATTTTTGGATCTACGCACACATCAACTCCATGACAATTAGTTTGAACAATATTCGTTATCTGGCCTCTTAATTTATGTATTTCTTGCATAGCCTGACCAAGTGATCAAATTCATTAATTACTGATGAAAGGCTAATAACAAGTGAATGGAAATCACCTTTGCACGGACAAAATTATCTTCACAAAACTTTTCACTGCCTCCAGAATACTCGTAAGCACCAGCAACATTTAGGAACTTTAATATATCACTTGTGGGATCAAGTCCAGCATGTACCTAATTACAAGGATGCATTGATTATTAAAAAAAAAAAAGATTTTACTAAAGCGCATCTATGGTGTTTTACACCTATGCATGCATCTTCTCAAAAACTGGCTAATTAACCAGTACGAGGTGTTCTAAGTAGAAATGTTCTACGCCCCTGAAAACCCTTCCCAAACCCTAATACTAATATAAAACTAACCCCAATGCGAAAAAAATTTAAGTCAAAAATTTCTATAACAAAATTTATAAAAACTTAGAAAATTGAAAAAAACGTAATAAAAACATATAATAGGTGCAGAGCACCATAGGTGCATTTTATAATAATTGAAAAAAAAATTCAATAAAAAATCAACATATTAACATACTTTTTGGACGTCATAAAATCTCTTCCGCATCAATTTTCGACGTTCCTTTTTAAAGATGATTTCTTTTTGAATTTCATTTAATTCCTTCGTTTGAACATAATCTCCAAATTCATCTTTGTCACAATCACTGTCTGAATCCGTACCAGCTAAATGATATTCCCTTATAAAAGGATCACCAACTGATAAGGCTGATACGATGGCAATGACGTATGGAAGACATTCATGTTGCTGTCCAATTATTAACATTTTGGAGAATCTGGGTGCAAGGGGAAATGTCGCCATTGTGCGTCCCAAAGAAGTAATTTGACTATTTTCATCTAATGCTCCCATGTGTTGTAGCAATTTTTCTGCCTTTTTCAATTGATCACGATCAGGAGGTGTTGGAAATGGAAAGTTAGATACAGTATCAATATTCATCGCTTTCATCTGCAGTATAACACCTTCTATCGGTGTTCTATGAATTTCAGGAACTGTAAATTGTTGAAATTGATCGTTGAATACAGCAGAGGAATACAACCGATAACAATGACCAGGGCCGGTTCGACCCGCACGACCTGCACGTTGATCAGCAGATGCTTTTGAGATCCAGTCGATTACAAATGATTGAACACCAGTATTTGCATTATAACGGCGTTCTTTAACTTTCCCACAGTCTACAACATACGTAATACCAGGAATAGTTAAAGAAGTTTCGGCTACATTAGTTGCAACAACACAAAGACGTGCCCCTTCAGGTGGTGGCTCAAACACGCGCATTTGAGCTCGAGTTGAAAGCAAGGAATACAGTGGAAGAACATATAAAGGCCCAGCTTATATAAAATGATTATAATAACAAATCAAATTAATTAATATGATCTAAGCTCAAGTTTAACTAATAATGATAGTGTACCATATTCATTGTCCAATTCATCATTCTCAGACTCCGTGACAGAATCCTCAGAATCCGTATTAAAGCCATCATGGTAATCAATGCAACTTTGTTCATTTTCACCTATAACCAATTCTTCGATTTCAGGATCAGCTGTAGATCGATAAAATTAGAATTAAATATATTTATAAAAATGAATATCCAGCATTGAAAATAATGAAAATACCATTTCTAGCAGACAATCCTTCTCGAATATGTTCATAAGGTTCGTCAATTGTACTACTATGATGGGATCGATTGGACGATAGATATGGAAACTTATTACGAAGTTTCTTACAAAGAATAGATATTTCATTTTGTCCCGTCATGAATACAAGAATTCCTAAATACAGGATTTAACCATCAACAATCATTACTAAAGCTTAAAAAAAAAAAAGATTAAACCAACCTCCACGTGGAAGCCTTGTGTGAACCTTGCAAATCTTCTTAAATGCCTCTGTAACATAATCAATACGTGGGGTTCGTTTATTAAAATGGATTGAAACCTAGAATGAGAAAGGAGTCAATTTGCTTCTTAATAAAATTTAGATAGCTAATATGTCTTACAGGGTATTGTCGTGCATTAACATTTATGACTGGGGGTGGGATGTCAAACAACCTCCTATTCTCTGTGAAATCTGAAATACGCAATGTAGCTGACATTATGATAACCTTCAAAGGCTGTAACAGAAATCACAATGAGTTGCAATAGTCAAAGAATTAATGTTAATTAATTAGCAATCAATTACCTACTTTAATTTTCGATTTATCATCCTCACTCAATTCTTTGCGCAATTGAAGAACGCGACTAATAACACCAATCAAGATATCTGTGTTCAAGCTTCTTTCATGTGCTTCGTCAATTATAATCGCTGAATATTTTGACAATAGGAAGTCTCCAGAAAGCTCACGAAGTAAAACACCGTCCGTCATAAATTTAATAACAGTTTTTGGTGAAATAGTCGCATCGTAACGAATCTGAATAATTAAATTCCCAATTGAATTAACACATACACGTTCAAAATAAATAAAAACCAAAAAAAGTTTATCAGTGTGTTATTAATCCAACCTGGTATGACACTTGTTGATCATCGAGTGATAGCTCTTGCGCTACGCGTTTTGACATACTCACGGCAGCAACACGACGAGGTTGTGTAATGCCAATAATTCCCGGATTACCTTCCATAATGCAAATGTTTGTTAGCACAATAACGTGTGTTATGTATTACCGTACAACGTGGATTAAAATACCCAGGGTACTTTACAATTTAAGCTATATATATGGATATTATAATCGGAGTGATATGGTCGTGTAAGGAGTATATATGAGTACCGCAATAGTATTTTATATATGAGTAACGCACAAGGAAGCATGTAAAATCTTATTCGTTAATCCTGTGCCGACGACCTTAACGATTTGGCACTGGGGCGTGACTAATCAAAGGGTATGACAAACCAACGTTTACTATATAACCATTATAATAAATTATTATTTGTCATATCCTATGATTGGTCATAAGTCGTTAAGACTATATATGTTGGCAAAGCTAAAAATTTCAAAATCCCACTCAAATCCCAAATATAATAAAATTGTCACAAATCCCAAAGCCCATCCCAAATATAATAAAATTCGTCCCAAATCCCAATAGTTTTGCCAACAAGTATAGTTAAGACCGGCATAGTGATTAACGAATAAAATTTTACTTACAGGTTTTCCATGTGCATCACTCATATTCTAAGTGTAATTAATCATCTTTAGTGCTCAGATATTTTACATTCCCAAGTGCAATTAATCCGTCCTTAGTACCCGGGGTACTTTACATTCTAGGCCTCCGAAAACCGTGAGAGGTATTATAAAAGGAGGTCTTTACGCTGTACGGTAAGGTAGTTTGAAAATAAACCAATATCAATAATCACACGTACCACTTTCCGGATTTCCGAATCCTGCTTCATAAAGAAATTGAGGCAATTGCGTTGTTTTTCCAGATCCCGTTTCTCCACAAATAATAACCACGGAATTCTGATTAATTGCTTCCATTATTGCTTGTTCTTCTTCACATACCGGTAATTTCATTCTCGCAAGCTGAATTTCTTGGCTTCTTTTAACAGGAACATTAAAAGTCTTAACAAAATTCTGATTAATTGTTTCCATTATTGCTTGTTCTTCTTCACACACCGGTAACTCTATTCTCGCAGGCTGAATTTCTTGGCTTCTTTTAACAGGAACATTAAAAGTCTTAACAAAATTCTGATTAATTGTTTCCATTATTGCT